ACTGACAATCTTTGGTGTCGGGAGCTGAATACACAACTTAGTAACTCTGTATTTGTGGCATTCTAGTTCATGTTAAATGTCCAAATACTCAAAACACGTGACCATAGGTGCGGGTGACAACGCAGATCAAAGGGTACGCACAGCTCTCTCTTCACCACGACGAATGGGTACAGGGTCTACTTTACTGCAGCCGCAGCACCAATCTGTCTGCTGAGCTCTTGCTCCCCTCTCCCATGAACAAGACCCCAAGATACTTAAACTCGTCCACTTGAGGCAGGTACAGGCCCTGACACGGGCACTCCACCGTTTTCCATATTTGAGTATTATTATCGGATCAAAATGAAGAAAAAATATATTGTGATTGTATATCTGGCCACAATCCTTAGTTCTAAGTGTGGGCATGAAACGTCTTGCTGTCTTACTGACCTCAAAGCAAAAAAATGTTGAGTGCATGATTGCAGCATAATGCCTTACCTGCCCCTTTGGCATGGACCACTCTCTCTGGGATTCGCTCACGGTCAAAGTGGGCCATCTCGTCTGTGAAGACAACATCTTGAACCAGCAGCGGCCCTCTTGGCCCTGCAGTCTGCAAGTTCAATTTGTCTCCCACTGGATGGCCACCGCCTGTGGTCAGCACATCTGGTTTCTAATAATAGACACATTAAAAACAAAACACACAAACAACACAACACACAAACAAAAACAGAAAAAGCATTAAATATATACACATCTTGAAGAAAGACTACAAGAACACTAATACATGACAACTGTCCTTTTCTGCTACTTTAACCTGATGATTCCAGTAAAGAAACAAAATCGGTGCAGCTGGTTAATTACTTAATTAATCAAACTAACAACACATGATGGCGATTTTGAATGAGGAGTTAAAAAATGCAAACTGTGTTACGCATAAAAAAATAACACGTGTATACAACGGTGCAGTTTGGTATCATAACAATTACTATGTGCTGTTCAGACGACATCTCTTTCACGGCTGGTTCGCGTGTGTTTTTTTAGTGCCCAAAATGTCTCAGATGTGTAGTCACCCACTCGATTTCTTTGAAGAACGTTGGCTAAAAACAATGAAATAGTAATGCTAGCAAGTAAGCCCTTTACAAAACAAAGTTATATGTCTGAATATAATCGTCTACTGAACGATAGGTCTCTCGAAAAGCTAGCTTAAATCGCCCATTTCCAATTCATCACCGCGCAAAACCAAAAAAAAAATCGATCAAACCGAATGTATAGACCTGAGAGCCTCTATTCGCTTTCCATGTCTTCATTTGGTCGGTAGCTTTATCTCTGTTGTCAGCCATCTCGACAGCTCAGCGTTTAGACCACACACTATTCGGAATAAAACTCTTTATCCCGACTCCAGAAAAGAACATTTCTTCTTGGACCTTGCCTGCGATGGTCCCGCCCCTCTTACGCCCCTCTATACTGATTTGCTCACGGAGTAGCAAACAAAGTTGGTCAGGGGTATGTTTACTAGTGATGGGCAGATTCATCCAATTGGTTCACCCCAGCGCAAAGCGTCTTGAAGCTTCATTTGCTCTAGTAGGACA